TTAATTCTCAAGTCCGGTGTACCGCCAGTAAACCATGGTCCTTAGGTGAGAAATGAGAAATTTCAAGGGCCATTGAACACAGTGAATTTAGCAGAGTGCTCAATAGCCCTCAAAATTTCTCATTTAGGAAGGTGCATATGTACTGCTTCCAAAAATGAATGTGAACTTCACTTTCCCCATTTGATTTACATTTCTTCCTCCCTTCTTACCTCCCTCCCTCTCTCTCTAAGACTCATGCCGTGAGTAGCTGGTCTGCCTTTCTTCTCATTTGGAAGCACATTCAAGGCACATGCTGATTAAACCCATTGGCACAAGTTCAGAGTGTGAAACAACATGCACAGATTCACAGTATAATGCTAGAAAATCCCAGTCCCTGCACTAGCCTCAAAACTGCATGTTTGGTATATTCTTCCCTTGCATTCCCATTACCACTCCTTCAGACACCAGCTGGTAACTAATATAAACATGATGGTATTCAGGTTAATGTTTATTATTTGCCTTTCTGGAATTCCTAAATGTAAGTTGTTAATTGTACTGGTGGCTAAGTAGATGCTGTAGCAAATAAATACTTGGTGGGTGTATCTGAGTTTTCAGTAGTGCTCTGTTGGTGAGCAAACTTGGGAGCAGCATTAGATCTGGCTGCCCGTGCAGCTGCCTGATTTTCATATCAACATGAGTGCCGTAAATAGCAAAAGCACTGTTGCCCTGTGGGGACAAACTTCTCTTTATCTGCTCGTCTCTTCAGATTTTTTTATTTTATTTTATTTTTCAGTAAAGTTGCTTAAAGGTAGAAAGAAAGAGATCTGTTAATTGAAATAGTGATTTATTTTTTTAACGCACTCAGACTTCTTTCCTTTTCTTGGTCATTAGATAGTTTACATTTCTTTATACATATCAGTGAGGAAAATAATACTTTTATGTTTAACAGCTGTGTTGCAATAGGCTCCATAGGACTCCAGAGGTGAAAGTCCTATTGTGATCTATATGATTTCAACGGCAGCCTTTTTAACTCTGTCCACAATTCCTGTGAAAAGTTGAATTTTGTATTAATGTTCCCTCACTTCTCCTGTGACTGTGTCTTTTTGGTAAGACTAACTCTATCGTTAAACCCACTTGAACTTTATCTCCTTGCGGAGATAGGTAGTATTATAGGTAATAAGGTTAGATATGCAGACTAAAAGCAGCCGCTTTTGGAATTCTAAGTGCTTTTCAGAAAATACATCCCATGAGTTAAAATAATGCAAAGGCTTGTATACTTAAGAAATAAACTATTAAGGTAATATATTGCATTACACTTCAGTTGAATATGAGTTATAGTATTAAAAAGTCTTTATTTTGCTCCACCAGAAAAAATAGGCTAAAACACTTGAGTAAGCTAGCTGCTACATTTTGAATTAACATATAGACTGAAGGGTAAATTCTGTGCTTCTTAAACATGTGTAATCTAATTAGCATTTGTGAGATTTACTGGGATCATTTTTCCCCTTGGCATACGCAATTGCAAACAGGGAGAACGTGGGCTGCAGGCTGCTAGGGGCAGACGTCTGCCTGGAGTGGACATCCATGTGGAGAAGCGCCTGCATGCTCACTCCCTGGAGCCCTGTCAGCAGCTGACATGGTTCATGAAGTTCAGAGAGTTGTAATTATGGAGAAGTTCCTCAGCTGGTGAAAACAGGTAGAAATCTGTTTTGAAGGGGGAGGCTCAGAATATACTTCTTGAGATCACAAGGTGTAATGTAGTTGACAGATCTACTCTAAGAACCCTGGGTTGCTGTTGTACTTCACATAAATCTAAGTTAAAAAAAATAGGATAATGCTGGGTTTTGAGATAGTTCAAAATTTAAAAAAAGTTACAAGACAGGTTCACTGGAGGTTATTTCTGCAGTGTGAGCCTCAGTCAAAATAGAGACCAGTATAAAGGCTGATAATTAATCCTGTTGGCTTTCTTATTTCTTGAGGAAAGAATTGTTTTTCAATATAAATTGGTCTTGATGTACATCAATAGACTACCCTCCTTTGGAACTACCTTCTCATTAGCACTTATGAGAAGCACTAAAGACCTGCTAGTCTCTTTAAACGCAACTGTCCAAATGTAGGAGTCTAATTTACTTCCCTTGAATTTTATATGGTTTTAGCAGCTGAATCTTAATTTTCTTTGATAATGTACTTCTTTAAATGGCAGTACAGATTTATTCCTCTTTTTATGTCTTCTGCTAAAGCATGTGTTAACCATCATAAATTTTTGATGGAGTGGACAGCATGGATGGTACCCCTGCATGTGACAAGCATGCTCATTGCTGGCTGTGAGCAAGCAATACCAGCAAGATTTGGCTTTCACCTTTCAGAGCAGAGGTGCAGAATGTGGAGTGAAGCTCCTGTTACTTTTATATAGTAGCTCAGCTCAGTTAAGCAGAACTTTAAATCGGCTGTTTCACCAGAAAGCACTGACTTATGGCTTTGTTAGTGAAAAATGTTTGGTGAAATAGTGGCATCCACAACCTCAATTTAAATGAACAGTGTAGTCCTTTCAGTGTGGAGTAAAATAAGCTGTTTTACATGATTCAGTCTGTATTTCCTTGATACTAGGCTCCGCGTTAGTAATCCGGGACTGCTGCTGGCTTTTTAATTCCTGGTTTATGTACAAGTCCTTTTTGCATTTGGTTTATGTGCACCATTTGGAGCCATATTTGTATAAAGATGGTTTTATTCACCGAGTACTTTCAAAAAGAGAGTGAAAAGTAGGGATGTAATGCAGCTGTGGTGTTTCAGTGTTCAAAATCAATAGCTGCACTCTTCATGTCATACAAAGATTTGGTCCGTGCTGTCTGTTAAACCAAGTGGAGCTTGTTTGTTGTGTATATAATAAATAATGAAAATGATACTTAAAAATAGGACATTTTATGAGCAACAGTGGTTTTAATTGCATCTTGGCTTTGTGAGATTGTTTCTGTGTCTCTTATATCCCGTGAGCTTTGAAAATCTCAGAAACACAGGACTTCTCTCCAGACTGCGTTTTCCATTTATTATCTTAGCTATAGGGGAAGGATAGATTTTCCCAGAAGGTCTTACAGCTTTCTCTCCGTCTTACAGATCTTGCAGTCTCTCTTGCAAGCATCTGCATAGGATTGAGAACCAGTAGCATCCAGTCTCATCTTACATTTGTGTCCACAAGCACTGCCTTAAACTACTTTTCCTCTTTTGTTCTACCCATCAGCCAAGTGCCAGTGGTAAACAGGCCCCAGAGAACATGCAGAGCACTGCATTACAGTGGTAGATAAAGTTTAAATGCCAGATATTCCCTCTACTGCAAAAGCTGTGTAGCTGCTTCTAGGCATCTTGACTATTTTCTCTAGCTGTCTCCATCTAGACTCACAGTCAGCCTTGAGGCATTTGCAAGTCTTGGAGAAGAGAGCTAGTGAAGGTGGCCTGTGTTGCAGCTTCTCAAGTGTAGGGCTGAGAGCAAGTCCTGTGGACAAGGGGAAGAGATCAGAGAGGTGATGGAACACTGTGGAGGCCCCAGATCCATCTTGCGGCTCCAAAAGGAGCAGTGAAGTCCACTGCTGCTGGGAGAGGCCAGCCAATGCTGTGACAACACCAGGGAGACAGGGTCACCTTCCAGGACTCTTGCACTGGGAAGTGTGGCCATGGCCACTTCTTTCTGTTTGCTGCCCACCTTTTTCCTCTGCCCTCTAGAAAAGAGGTTGCCATTTCCTGAGCATAAAACCAGCCTCTGTGGGCTGTCACTACAACTGAGACGTTAAGGAATGTTTTGACGGAAAGATACAGGGAGATAGATGACTCAAAATTGAGCCACCTCAGCATATTCTGCTTAGCACTTCTTTTGTAGTTTTTGGTTCATACCTTCAAGAAAATACCAGGGCTTTTTGTTATTTGGGAGAGTGTGCTTAAAGTAAGAACTGTTCCTCTCACTGACTGGTAAGTGGATTAGTTTGGCAAATTAAAGCTTTAGTTAGGATGACAGTAGAAGAGAGTGTTTGTCCTCAGTCTCTATCAATGAACTCTTGTCTCCAGTGTTTCTTTTCTAGAAATTGGAAGAATACTGTATGCATGTTTGATATTGTATTTAGTCTCTCAAGATGGCATCCCAGGTCTGCTGTTCAATTAGGGAGTGTAGTTCTCTAATCCTTATTTAATTAGAACTCCTTGTCTTACTCCCTGGGAGTTGCATTTGTAATTGGATTCTCACAAGTGAGAATATGCAGAGGCTACCTCAAAGGGAAGTTATAATTTGATGATGTGTGTTACTCACCTGTAGTTCTTCGAGAATGTTTCCTCTGCATATTCACATGATGGGTTCTGTCCATATTCTGTTTGTTACTGGAATTCTACTGCCCTACAGTTGCGGTGTTTAATAAGAGTAACTGAAGTATGGAGCACTGTACAACTCTTTAAAATCTCTGATTGCTTGGTGTCATCAGATGGCACTTGTACAGTCCTAGTAGTCACTGCTCTTCTAGGAAGTTCCTGTAGGTCACCAGCACTGGAGAGCCAAAACCCACTGCTGTGAATATGCAAGGACAGCACTCTCAAAGAGCAAGTCAATGGTAAGTTCCTTTCATTGTCTTCAAATATTTCAAATGTTGCTTTGTTAGTTCTCTGTTTGCAAATTTGCTGTGCATTATTGAGATTAATTTTACTGCTGTTGCCTTTCTGGCAAAAACCAAGAAAGTGTCTGTATTTGTGAGTACTCACTTCAGTTGTAAATTGATGTACTACTATCAGCATGTGGGTGTGTACACATATTTGAGCTATAATATATTTCTATCAGACAAAAAGGCACAATTACAGTGCAATATTATAGATTTTTGAGTCACACACTTCTAGTTGTATTAGATTAGATAGCACAGTGAGTTGTTGACAAAAGAAAGTCTATTAATAGTATTAGCCGTGTTAGTTCTCGAAACTGATTCTCCAAAAGAAAACCAAAGGTAAACTGCTTTTTGCTTCTAAACTTTCTTCTGAACTTTTGTTTTTTCCAGACATGGAATTCTGTGAGACTCCCCATATTCTGTGCTCTGGCTATCAAACAGAGTTACATGGTGTAGCTGAGCACAGTTACCCACTAGAGGCGGGCTCAGATGTGGATACTGAAACAGAAGGTGGTGCATCCCCGGAACATGCCCTGAGGATGTGGATGAGGGGGATGAAATCAGAACACAGCTCCTGTTTGTCAAGCCGGGCAAACTCAGCATTGTCCCTCACTGACACTGACCATGAAAGGAAGTCTGATGGGGAGAATGGTAATAAAGAAATGCATCTAATGTATTGAATAGAAGTAGTAATTTATTTGAAACTTTCTTCTACTTAATTTTTATTTTCCTTTTTGCTTTATTTTGTTTTGTTTTCTTTCTTTCCCCCATTCCTTTTTTAGGTCTCTGTATTATAAGAAAGGTGAAAGGGTTGTTTGGTATGTGTGTTGCAATTATAGTGTAGATGGAAAGTAAGTCAAGAAAAATGAAACAATGCTTTTGTTAAAACATCGTTCTTCTAGAAACTGCTTACTGTCCTACATTCTCTATTTTTATGCCATAGGACATTTATCATTTGAGCTTAGTGGCCTATGAATTAGGTTCTAAAATAAATCTGTACGTGCTACATTTATGTCATGTTTTGTGTAGAACTGATCCTGCATGTGCTGGCTTCTGGGCATAGCTTTAAGACTACAGTCAGGTGACTTCAGAAAGGCAACCTGGAATCCTAGATGCTCTTTTTACCTCTAATTTCAGGCTACACCTGAAGACATGCCCTTATCAGCAGGACAGAGTGAACAGGTCTTCATCGTCTCAGTTCTGTATATCTCCGTATATGGCAGATGGGTTTTGGGGCTAGGTTTTGCAGGGGGATTGGGTTATTATTTTGTTTTTAAAAGAAAAAAAAATTCTCTTTCAGGATGCTTTTACTTATTTGTTTCTCTTGTGATTTAGTGTGTAACAAAATTAATGAAAATGTGCTCTAAATGTTTCCTGAAAGAGTATAGTAAGTAAACAAATTTATCATGCTTAAGATCAGCATGCTTACTGCATATTTTAATTTCTGTGTTTAATAGCTACATGTTACAGCAGGTCTATATGTCAGGTCTCAACGTAATTAAATACATATTTTTAAACGGATAAGAGATAGGGGAACCAGTGAAAGTGGCAGATTGACACTCTGGTGTTGACAGTGATACAATTTAGTAATCATAAGATGAAAGTCACTTCTGTCATGAATGTCATTTCTATACTTACGTGTTATGAATCTGTCAAATACGAGGCTGGTAATTTAATTATAATTTCATCTGCTTGTTTTCAATACTAATGATAATGTCCAATATATGTTCAAAGACATTAGATGATCTGAATGAGTGTAAAAAAAAAAGTTTTATGGCACAGCTCATTTTTAATTAAATACTCCTTTGCGGGCTAAGCACTCTGCACTGTCCCATTGCATTGTGTTCCCAGAATCTGTTAATTTTCAGATGCCACCCACTTGCAGGACAGCCAGTGGATGACTGCTTTCTAGCTTCCTGCTTTTGCCATGTTCTGTGGGGGATCCATCCCCTGTGAAGTGTTGTTGCATAGGGGTCTTTTGTTTGGTTTTTTTTTCAGGTTTGTTTTTCCCTAAGACATTTGGTTTTAGACAGTGACTGAAGGAATTGAATCCAGTCTGCCTGGAATTGGTTGTCCTTAACTATGAAAATGGTTTAAAGTGAATGCTCCCTGAGAAAGGAATATGCATACTTGTATCCTTCATACTAAGAAATACCATGTGATCACTTACATCTTAAGGTGCTAGGAAGCCAATGTATTGAAAGTCGATGAAGCATATAACCAAGTTATATGTGTTTCAGTCTGTAATGCAGTGGTGCAGCTGGGTGTTTGTAATGTTTTGCTAGCCATGCAAGTTACAGTAAAGTCATGATATAAATGGAAATTATTGCACGTAGTAAAGGAAATGCTTTTGTTACCTTCATTATCCCACGTGGACGTGGCAGGAACCACAGGTTAAGTGTTGTTAAGGTAGGGGCACATGATCATTGTGCTTCACCAACAAAGAATTAAGTGATTCCTTCTTAAATGTTTGTCTCAGAGAGTTATTTTAATCAAACTTTTTTCCTACATGGTCTACAATAGAACAGAATAGTCCTTTTGCATGAGGCTTTAATATGGGGTACCTTGTAAGCTTTATATCTTTTTAAATCAGGGATTCATGCTTTAGGTACTTGAATACATATTTTACCTAACAGTTGGGAGGCAATATTGAGGTCAAGACTGTGCTGGAAGAGAAAGAAACTGAGAGCACAGGCTCATTTGAACTCTTTAGTTGTCTCCAGGCAGGGTTGACAGAGCAGGTATCAGTGCTTCCTGTGGTGTTGAGTCATTATAATGATTACTGTCTTGAAAGTTAATGTGGATAAATTTGAAGACAATGATGGTTCAAGCAGTATTCATGTGTACTATCTAGTACTTCACAGGTAAATCCGTAGTCGAGATTCCTGATCCAGTGATTACTGTGTTTTGCATCTGGGTAGACACTCGGTAACAAAGCACTCTTTTGAGTACAGAAATTCGTAAATCTCTACTTAAATGAACTAATAGGTGGCCCATCTTTCTGTTTCTATGCAGTCATTGGTGCCAGAGGCTTTTTCAGAGAACCACAAGTGTCACGTTTGTCCTCGTCAGTTCCTGCCATGGAAGTAGACTTTGTGCCAGTCAGTAACTTCTGTTGTGTGAAAATGGGCAAGCACAGAAGATCAGTTGCAGGAAGTTCATGAAATGCTAGTTTCCATGATAGTGTCTGATTATCATAGAAATAGGTATTTAGAAACTCTGGCTTTCAGAGGGCATGTGAACACAGCTATTAGAGTAAAATTAATGAGGAGAATATAGTTGTTGAATTGTTTGAGAACACTAATTGCTATTATTGCCTGTATCTTGTAGAAGTCAATTGTTTTTTGTTGTTGGGGTTTAGTTTTGGTTTGGTTGGGTTTGGGATTTTTTTCCCTCTATAAGCATTCCCTTTTTCCTGTATTCTGCTACAATGCAGAATAGTTTTTTTTTGTAGTGACATTAGGACAGCTGTGTGTGGACCATGGCAGACCTGCTTTCAGGACATTCTTTTGCATTACATTGATTTGAAGCATATATACTTCTGCAGATTCTATGTAGATGTTCCTTAAGTTTCTCGTATTTATTCAAAGCTCTATCAGGAGGTTCCCTGGCACAGGATATATACTTCATTAGGTATTCTGAGTAGCCCAGTTTGAGAATTTATTCGAGGTTTATTTTCCTTCATAGACACACCAACTCTGTCATAATCACTGTTTAAACATTTGGCAGGTTGTTTTGGCAGCGTTGAACAGATTGTATGAAACACCAACATTCCCATTTAAATTAGTGTTGTCAATGTTAATGGCAACTAATAATAGCCTGTTAGCACACAGACTGCCTTCGGCTTTGCCTGAGGCTAAGCAAAATATATATTAACTGCAAGTAATGAATGACCAATTTCTTGGGGATCATTTCTTATCTTTGATATAGTATAAATAGCTCTATTTAAACATGAACAGTGTTACTCTACAGTATGTGAATGTAAATTATCAGACAGAAACACTGCAGAATAACAATATCAAAACCAGTTACTTTATTCCATTGAAGAAGACTGTACCTACCCTCACTTCACTGAAACAATGGTATCTGGTATTGCAGCATATCAGAACATTGAGTTCAGCGGTTTAGGCTGCCATATTACTGAGCTGGCAAATCTATTTATTTCCATATTTTTCAGGAGTAAAGTTATGCTCCAGGAGAGGGTACAATCCTCATCTACCAAAGAGCAGTTTTCAGACATGTATCTCATACTACCTCATGGATCTGCACCCCACACTAGCTAGTGTACTAAAAGGACTGCAGCCCATTTTGTACCCTTGGATTCTTCCCCAATAAATTGTTGATGCTGTTCTTATGTGAAGGTCTCACGTTTTGGTTTGTGTGATGCCTGTGTAGCGATTAGTTTTACCCCAAGTACATTCACACCATGCCATAATCCATTTTTGAGCCAGGTTTGACTTGTTTGCACAGCCACCACCCCTTTTACTTTTACCTGCAACATCTCGCCTGAAAGCTAATGTGCTACTTGAGCCATTTCTACAATAACACTATTTTTAACCTGTTTTGGGCCGTCAGTTTGTTTTGAAGTGCTTTGAAGGCTGGCTTGTTTGGCTTACTCCTGACATGTACTTAGATGTTCTTAGGCAATTAGTTATTTTTTCTTTACTAAGTAGTGAGGACCAGTAGCAGAGTACTGGGCTCCCAGTGCTGGAGGAGTGAACTGCAGAATGCACACTCAGCCTTGAAGCTCTCTTGTGCTCAGTTCCTTTAGCTAAATTATTTCATGACAACTGGGCATTGGCTATAGTTCACAGCAGTTTTTTTTGAGAGTTGTATCAAGAAATGAAGGTGTTAGTATAGTCTGAAATACCACTGTGGTCATGGAATACAGCTTTAGAGTGCCTGAGATCTGGCATGGGGACTTTTTTTAATAACATATTTTTGTCTTTAAAAACAAAGTAGCAAAGGTGGGGAGGGGACCCAAGTAGAAAAAATGTAGTTGTTTATTTTTTCCTGCAGAAACTATTGTGGAACTTCTTTCTTAACATCAGTAAACAGGACCAGATTCTATTTGGAACAATAATTCTAATAAAATTAGTATTTTTAAACAGCAGACTACAAAGAATAATAATATTAGCCATATCTTAATAAATAGATATAGTAGAAAAATTAGTGGGTTACAGATCAAAGCTGACTTTAATGTCATAGACACATGTAAGATTAATATTGTGTAACATACCTATGTATTTGTTTTATGCTCTGGAAGCAGTGGTCCATTTATCAGAGCTTTTGACTTTCCCTGAATCTCTGGGATTTTTTTCACTTTCATTGCTGGACAGATGGGTGACTTTTGGGCAAGTAACCTCAGCACTTTGCACTTCAGATTCGGTATCTGAACATGATCTGGAAAGGGATAAAGATGCTTAATTAGTAAAAGAAATACTTCAATTGCTGACACTGCATGAGAAATACAGGCTTGTGGATGCTGTAGTTATTCAAACATGGGGAGGATTTAGCTGAGGTTGAGGTTCTTATTTAATTTATAGTGTTTGTCAATAGACCTACTGTGATTCACACCTGTTTAAATTAGACTTGAATTTGGCTCTTCATAAGTGTCTTGTGTTTAATGTAAGAAAGTGAGAGTATTGGGA